TAGACGTCTAGTTAACTTGTGCATGCTTTTTAGCAAAAGTTGTTAGGAAGTAGATATCCTTTATTGGCCTTTGGCCAGACTACTACACCTTATACTAGGGTAACCTACTCACAATTGCTAGGTTAGATCTTCTTCTACTTCCTAGACTTCTCTAAGCCTGTTACTACTAGCTATAACAAGATCTTGCCTATTAGGAAGCTAGACTTATTAAAGTTATACAAATCCTTGTCTATAATACTATACTTCGCCTTTATAGACTAAACAAGCGTGAACTAGGGCTAGATAACTACTAGGTCCTTGCAGGCAGCCCGCTGGCAATTGTATGGGCAGGTCCACTGCTTCTAGAGCTCTAATGTACGCTTTACTAAGTTGTTAACCTAGTTCTTACTAACAGGCTTTGCGCTGCGCTCTCTTAGCAGTTTATCTGCCATATCTTGTACGTCTGCCTTTAAGGAGGGTAGGCCACACATAGACTCCTCAAGTATACGTAGTATAAGTGCCTCCTCCTCTAGCTTTGTAAGGCGCTTTGTATTTAGCTTACAGTTGTATTAAGAGTGTGTTCTGTTGCGTTAGTGTTAGATTATTTATTTAGGCACTTTATAGACTTTCTTAGCGCGTTAGATACTTTAAATTTAGTTTCTTAAGATATTAGATATAGCAAGCTGTACATTAGCTTTAGTATAGAGTGTAGGAGCTTGTTGTGGTTGATACATTACGCGCTGTTGTTGCGCCGGCGTTCTGGCAGCGAGAGTGCGGCGCTCGCTTGGGTGCCGCGCTCGCTTGTGAAACACGTTATACATAACTCCTTTACCTAGTTACTAGTTACAGCTTAGGCTAGCTTCTCTTAGGTTATTAAAGGTAGTAAATTAATACTGCACTAAAACGTGCTTTAAGCTGCTTGCATTACTAAGCTTAAAGAGCAATTAGTAGTTATAAGTAGGAGGAAGTCGCGCAAGCAAAAGCAGATTCAGCATAGCAGCACACTTAAGTACAGCCTAGCAGCATTACAGGTAGCTGCTAAGGTGTCTGTAGCAGCTTAGCTGTTAAAGAAGACTTATAGTATAGATACTTAAGAAAGGACCTGTTTAGCCTAACAGCGCTGTAGAAACTATAGAGGCACTAGGCATAATGCTTAAACGTGTTAAAAAGATATAGGAGAAGATTCTAAATCTAATATAAGTACACAGTACGCTAAATTACTATTTAATAGTAAGTAATTTAAGTTACTGCAACATAAGTTAGGCGCGCTAAGAGTTTTTGACTAGTTTAGTTATATGACTAGCTCGGTGATAGAGTACGTTACCTGGTGTTCTTTTAACACATCTAATTAATGCTGTTAAGGAGGCATAAGTGCATAGGGTGAAGTTTAGTGGGGGCTTAGCAAAAGTGACCAGCTCGCCTGGTGACTGGCTCACCTATGAGGTACGTAATGGGTCTTAAATCTTAGAATACGGCTTAGTAATGTACTACTTGATCGAAGCGCACGGACCTGCACTACAAAATAACCTTTAAATCGTAGGATTTGGATGTACGCTTTAATTTCGATGAACTTTTAAGTAAAAAAGTGTACCCAACCCATTTGCCAGCCTAGGTGGGTGTAGTTGCAGGCGCCTGTGTCTTCTGCGAAAACCACGCGACGAGGCAAGCGCGACGGACCCATCATCGGCGTCCGCGGGCGCGCCACCTGAACAATACCTGTATCGCCTGAAGAGACTGTCCCTTTTATGCATTGTGCATCGTTTTGGACCCCGGGAGCTTTGATATGCTGTTTCGTTATTTCATCCATATTTTGGGCGGTTCAGCGATGGCTCTCCACAGAGCCTCTGCATCTCGTCTTGTGTTGCTCCTCTGGCTGGTCTCCGAGCACTCGCTGACACTGAAAAGTCTGCTGTACCTTTCTCCAACTTCAACTTCAACTTCAGCGACCCGGCCCTGAGGAAGATTGCTGTCATGTCCTGAGCATCCACAGCTCTATTGATCCGGCCCCACACGATCGTCGCGCTCATTCATCTAGGCCTCTGATCAATGCGACCTTTTAGCCATAGTATTTCAGCTTCAGAGGTATCGTTCCATTGCTCCGCCGAGCTGAAGTGGCTTTAAGCACATATGCAACGCACTGAAATGCATCACTCGAATCTCGAGCAATTTGGTGTGCCACCGGTAATCATCTGCACCCCAGAACGCCACAGTTTACATCTGCTTGAAACGAGCAGGGGTGACAGAAATTGCCCCTAGCCGATTGCCATCACTGGGCTACAATTTAATTTCGGTTGCGGGCGAAAGGACGACCAGGATTCTTACAGAGCAGTCGGCTGCACCCCACATACTCATCAATAGTGTGTTTGAGACTCATTGATTCTACCTAAAGGACGACTCGTCGCCTCGTCCCGAGATCTCTAAAATCACGAAGAGTCACTGCATAGACAGGACCAACACGCATCGACTCAAGCACATCAAGGTAACGACCAAAACCCTATATCAGTCATTATGAAGTTCACCGCTGCTGCCGCCCTCTCCGCCATTGGCCTTGCCGTTGCCAACCCAGTCGATTTCACCGAGAGGCAGAGCTGCCCTAAAGTCTACATTTTCGGTGCTCGCGAAACCACCATTTCTCAGGCCAACCCATACGGAACAGCTGGTGGCCTTGTCAACTCGGTGAAGGCCGCCTACCCCGGATCTGGCTCCGAGGGCATTGTCTACCCTGCTTGCGGTGGACAGGCGTCATGTGGAGGTATCAGCTATGACAGCTCTGCTACCCAGGGAACCGCTGCCGTCGTCGAGGCTGTCACAGCCTACAACCGGAAATGCCCCAGCACACAAATTGTCCTTATCGGATACTCTCAAGTACATTCCTCGATCGTATCATCGAATCAATTGCTAATCATGAACAGGGTGGTCAAATCATGGACAATGCGCTGTGCGGTGGTGCTGGTGCCACGCTCACTGGCAATGGCCTGGCGGCCGTCAAGGCTGCTATCTTCATGGGCGACCCACATAACCGCGCTGGCCTTCCCTACAACGTTGGCACATGCACAGCTCAGGGCGTCAGTCATCTGCAAAGTATTGACCAAAATAGGACTAACAAGCTCCGCAGTTCGCCGCCCGTCCCGCTGGCTTCCAGTGCTCACCCGCCAACACAAGCATCATCCAGTCGTACTGCGATGCTGCTGACCCATACTGCTGCGACGGCAGCGATGCCGATGCTCACCAGCAGTACGTCAACGTGTACGGCGACCGGGCTTTGGCCTTCATCAAGTCCAAGGTCACCGCTTAAGCGGCATGACGGGGCCCCGCTCGGAGTGGAGAAGCTAGATTCTCATTGTACATACTATGGTATCCGGCAAAAATAGTGTACATTGGCCAGTGCACGTCAGGGGTGTCGCCACCGGAAATTGAAGTGGGGGAAGCTCAATACAGTCTTCATTACATACAAATCTTAGTACTTTTTGTGACCACCTTAAGCATTGATAACTACCTAACAGCGTGCAGGCATAGTCTTAATAAGGCTCTGAAGGGACTCAGGGGTACAACTCCATATAACGTACCTCAAGGGCAAGCCGATCACACAGGCGAGCTGATCACTCTGCCAACACCACACTAATATTCCACCTTACAACCTAATGCCTTAATAACAACACAAATCTGAGCCCTTAAAAAAAGCTGCAAAACAGCTTGCCCTCTAGGCAGTTGAACAAGACGCGACGCTTACACTGCAACGCACTGCAGCGATATATAACGCGCCTTATACTACACTGCACAATTAATACGCTGGACAGACTGCACAAACTAACTGTGAACTAAATTCGAGGAAGCTAGACAAGACAGAGGAGGAGGTAACTGTTTAGCATAACGTAGATTATCACCGAGCCGGCCATATCACTGAACCAGCCTCTTTCTCTTAGCATAACCACCTTTTACCCCAACACAACATGCCTTAACGTACCCCACGGGCGAGCTGATCAACGGGCGAGCTGATCACTTTTGCCAGATGTGGCTGCTATGGCCAATTCTCTGCGCGCTGAGCGCAATCTAGGCCCTATTAGCGTAAATTAGCCTAGTATGTTTGTTAAGCGTCAACTAGAGCTTAAAGTAAAGTTTAATTGCAAGTACAACTACAAGCAAGCCCTCTGCAAGGATTCAGGGGTTGTGCAGGGCTAGTTTAGCCTAGTAGCTAACATTAAAGCTAAGTATAGCATCTAGGATAATAATACCTACAACTTTAATAAGACTAGCTTTATAATAGGCTAGATCTCCCTAGGAGCAGTTGTTACAGCTTTAGAGAGACAAGGAAGGCTAAAGACAGTCTAGCAAGGCAACTAGGAGTGGATAATAGTTATATAGGGCATTAATATAAAAGGATAGGCTATTCTGCCCTTTATTATCTTTAAGGCACGCCACCACCTCTCTAGCTAGTATAAGGAG